AACCAGTTGACTGTGGCTAGTTGGCCTAATTCGCACGTGACCCCCTTTTGCGACCTTCTGACAAGCGAATTCCATGGGGAAGCCAGATTCACTTAACAACCATGTTGCTAACTTAACAAATGCTTTCCCTTTGTGGACTAATGCTTACAGAAATTTTTCTAAACATGTCCATAAAAGCTCACCCTTCCGTGATAGAACTGTAACTTTGTGTAATTCTGATTGTAGTGTTAGTCGTCTTTCTTTCTTTCTTTCTTTCTTTCTTTCTTTCTTTCTTTCTTTTTCTTTCTGTCTCTTTCTCTCTCTCTTTTTCTCTCTCTCTTTCCTTCCTTCTTTCTTACGTTTTTTTTATTTGTTTTATTATATAAAATACAAAGGAAAAAAAAATAAAAATAGGAAATAAAGGGAAGGAAAAGGAGTGCGGAAAAGAAGGTGTGAGATACAAGGAGGGGAAAAAATACATTGACTCTTGACTCTTCTTAGCAGTGTACGAGATAAAAACACTCCAACCTCAACGTTTGGCTTTTACACATTAATGTATAACTTGCCATTTCTACGCCACATCTTTCTGATCAACAAAACCGAAGTCAACCGAAGTTTCAGTGTTCTTTTCATCACAAAGCACAAAATCCAGAAGTGACATCCAAATGAAAAAAAAGATTTCCGCTTTGAATAAAATAATCAATTTAACCAGGAATGGGATTCTGCCGGTTCGGACCAGTTCGAGCGAACCCCTAGCTCCAAAAGTCAGCTGGGAGTGAACCAGTTCGCTGCGCCCCGCCCGCCCCTGCGCTGTACTTTATATCCCAGCTGATCAACGCAAAAGATCAGATTGCCACTCCTCAGCTGTGTTACTCCCCAAAAGTAACATAGCAGGTAAGCATTTTTGCATTGCTGTTCACACATGCACAGCACACGTCAGGCGTGCATGCACGATCACCGAACCAGTTGTTATACTGGCACCATCCCACCCGTGAATTTAACCGTTCTGGCTTTATCTTCCTTTGCTATGGAAGTGGTATGTATTTCTATCCGCACCTAATAATCCTTGTGAACTCTCCCCATTTATATTCACGAGATTCACTGTATTCTTTCAAATTCGGAAGGAGGGAGGGAAAAACCACTCTTTTTTCTTTCTTTCTTTCTTTTTCTTCTTATTTCCGATGAAAGCTTTCAATGGGTGAAACCTTGTTTTTTGTTTTTTTTTTAAAGTTCCTTCCTGGGACCTCCATGACATTTCCCAATACTGTCAGTGACATCCCAGAAAATGTACTACCGTGTTTCTCATAAAATAAGGCCTGGCCTTATATTTTTTTTGACTCCCCGAAAAAACGGCTAGGCTGTCTTTTCGGGGGTGACTTAATTTCCTCCCCCACCTAGGGCGGCCCACACACGTACCTCGCCACGAGGCCACTTCTATCGGCCGACGAAAGCTCCCCAAAGGCAGAGTCTCCAGCCGCTTCGGCGTGAGGCGTGGCTGCCCATGTCCCCTCGCCATTAGGCAGTCTCTTTCAGACGATGGAAGCTCCCCAAGTGCAGTCACCAGCCACTTCGATCGGCCGGTAGAAGCGGCCTCGGGGCGAGTGCACACA